AAAACAAAACAAAAAAAAGCAAGTATTTAGATTTCTTTTTCAAAATGAGTATTACACAATGTTCAACTCAAACAAGTAATATACGATCTTGACTTTAAGGCGATGAAAGTCCCTGCCCCATTAAAATTGTCCGTAAAACGAAGGTGATTCAAATTTATATTTTCATTTGTTTCAAAACTTTAATCATTACTTTCTATTGGTCAATACCGACAGGTTTGATTATGAATTTAGTGATTATAATGTTCGTTTCGCTTTTCACGGTGGAAATTAGGAACGTCTTGGTTTTAACTGTTAATTTATGTATAATTTGGGATTAATTATTTTTATGTGATAAAGAACAGGCAATCTAAATTGAGAGTAAAAAATTTTTACTAATTTTTTGAAAAATTAAATCTTAATCAATAAAAAAAATTTATTCATTAAATTACAATTAATTAAATAAAAATTAATATATTATGTTATTATTTTAAAGTACATTAGAGTTTTGAGTGCATCTAACTACTGAACTATGAGTCGTAATTGCAGAATTAATGATATTAGAAATTAATAATATAAATGCATCAGCAGCATCACAATCTTTGATTAATTATAAAGCCAGTTCTACCGGATATATGCCTTACAGAATATTCAACATAGATTAAAATTATTTTACAAAAGCCGGATACTGGATAGGGTGGGTGAAGCTAACCCGATAAAGTAAGCTTAATCCAAGTAGTCAAATATATCATAAACAACACAGGAGGCTGACTACTTTAATTTAATTTATTACATGTTCCTTACTTGTTCAGAGGTTTGAAGACAACAGGGAGGCCGTATTGAGGTTGTAAGGTAAGGTTGTTGGCTGGTGCATGTTTGTATTCCGGGGAGAGGGAGAAAGAGAACCTTTGGAGAATCAAGGCAAGCACAGTTTTGGCCTCCAACATTGCAAAATTCTGTCCAATACAAGCCCTCGGACCAGTTGAGAAAGCAATGAAAGCATTTGGGTGCTTTGCTGCTTTGGATATCCCATTTATGAATCTCAGGGGATTAAACTCACTTGCATCTTCTCCCCAGTAGTCTTTGCTTTTGTGCATAATGACAAGCGGTATAATTAATTGTGTATGCTTTGGAATCCTTAAATTCCCAAGTGTCATATCTTCTGATGGTTCTCTAGCCATGGTTAGAACTGGGCCGTACAGCCTCAAGGACTCCAGAAGAACCATGTTCACCTAATAAGATGATTGCTGGGATGATCAGTCTAGAGAAATTAAGGCAATTCATTGAGAAGAACAAAAGTGTGTTATATCTTACCAATTTCAGCTTGCCCAACAAATCAGTATCTGGTATTCCACTCCCGCACTCTTTCAACACCTCTTCTCTGAGTTTTTCTTGCCATTCCTGATGTTTGCTTAACAAGAATATGGTCCAGGTCAACAGTGTCGAAGTGGTTTCATGTCCTGCAAAGAAGAATGTTTTGCATTCGTCCACGATTTCATTCATGTTCAACTTTAATTCTCCTTTAGCTTGAGTGGTTTCCGAAGATGCAATCATCATACCAAGTACATCATCTCCAAAACAACAATCTGGAGAACTTTCAGTACTGGTTTTGAAATTTTGCACCCTGCTCTTTATGATCTGCATTAAAGATCTCCTCATTTTCCAATCAAGCTTCCATATCCGAAGATTTGATGGAGTGGGCAGATATCTAAAGAAATACAGAGAAAGGGAAAAAGGTTCAAATGCATTATATATCCTGAATTCCAAATTTAAAGAAGAGAATCAATTTTTCAGATTGTGATAATTACTGGGTGCCAGGGATGAAGATATCAGAACTGGCAGCAGCACACCACCCCTGAAGCTGTCTTTGCGCTTCGAATACCTCCTTTCCTTGCATGTAGTTACTTCCAAAGGCAGTATGGGCAATTATGTCAGCAGTGAGTTTTTGAAATTCTACGTTCATTTCTATCTTAATGGATCCATCCTCACTCATTGTAGGCAGATCTTTCCACTCTTCAAGCATAGAGATGGCACAAGCTGCCATTCTCTTTACCATAACTTTGAGCTTTTCAACGGAGAAGGCAGGGCTGAGGATTCTTCTGTGCTTAACCCATTCCAATCCTTCAACAAATACCAATCCTTTCCCCATCATTGCTAGCAATCCAGGCCTGGTTCGAGGTTTTACGTAGAAACCTAACTTGCTTGATAGTATTTGTTTGGCTAACTCAGGGTCTGAAATGCAGAGATGTGGCTCTAATCCATGCCAATACAAAAAGGTCTCTCCTGTGACATAAAAAATGAGTATTAGTACACCTACTATCAATAAACAAAATGTAAAGAATCAGACAGGCAAAGAAACTAACCATATTCTGAGGACCATCGATGATAGTGGGGAAGGATCTTTTGGAGTATATCGTTTGAATCTATGTCAAGGATCTTTTCTTTTGAATCCTTCTTCATACTCTTTATCGCATCAAGAGACCCAGTGAGAAGTTTGTAAGGTGGACCAGTGATTCCTTGGTTCTTCAATCTTTGAGTCAAGGAATATGGCCACCAGAAAACAACCCAGGAAAGTTGCAGAAGCTTTGAGACTATGAACAGAATCATCAAAGTAACCAGGGAAAAAATAAAAACAGAGCCCATTTTGAGAGTGCTAGCAGTACTACTGCCAACTGCCTCTGCCTGTGGAAGTTACTGTGTGAGTTTTAAATGTAGGCTGATGAAGATGGTCATGTTGTGGCACTCCTTTTTTTATAGGCACGGATTCAAGGATGGTTGAGATCATTGCTTATGCAATAAAGGTAGGAGTTTCTGATATTTACACTGTAGGCTGTAGCTGTCATGGAAATGCATAACTCATACAAGCAATTTGCTCCCTCTTTTGGAAAATTCAGCTGTATATGTGGATTTTAACTTGAATTATTAAGCCACTGCCCTTTTCGTGGACCCGTTTCTTTCTTCGGACATCAAAAGAATTATCTATTACTTTCTCATGAATCCTTTTCATGAACCGGATGTTTATCAATTTGACGCATTAATAATTCTGAAGTTTCAACTTCCGTGATGCAGACAAATAAAATTGTGGAGAGCATTAAGAATTCTTTTTTAAAATAGGCACACAATGTTATTTTCGTATGAAAATTTTATATGATATGACATGGTATTTTGTAATTGATTATTTTATTTAAAAATTATGTATAAATTTATATGCAATATCATGTTAAAATATAAGTATTTA